ATAACAGATTATTAACTTCCATAAGCTCAATATTACTCAGACATTTTGTAAATCAGAAGTATTTGAGCTTTATATTTTAATCTCTTTCTTTATATGGGGTTATGTTTTATGTGTATGGGTTCTTCAGGATTATATAAATAATTACGATATAATAATTTTGACACTATTCTTGGTCACAGGTAGGCAAGCTTTTTGGAGTGGCGGGCTGGATGTATCTGGCTTGGGTCCCTGGCAGGCTGGTACTCTTGACCCAGACCACTATCACTGCTTCTCCCTGCTACCCAGCCACACAACAGGCAAAGCCCCCACCCAACTGTCTGGCTGTGGCATGGTGCTAGCAAAGCCCACCCAGTTGTGGTATGGCACCAGCAAAGGCCCTCAGCTTCATGTGCTGGATCATCCAATAAATAACGCAGTGAAAAAAACCAGCACCTTCTAGCCCTTATTTAGAGAAAACCTAGAAAATGTGAATCATCAAAGCTCAAAAAAGGCAAATAAAACCAACACAAAGTTATTATTTTTTAAATGCCATTATCTTTAAATGAACATAGTGATATCTGTGGTCAGATTCACAATTTCCAAATGTTTGACATCAGCAATACTGCAGCTGCCTATATATATTAAAAAGGCCACAAGTAATGGCTGAATTTATATATTAATAAATTATATATAGTACAGCAAAAAGCTGGAATGCTGCCTAGGGATTCAACTGGAATTTTTTTATTCCCATCACATGACACAGGTCAAGGTTAAAAAAAAATGTCCCCGTTACATGACAAGTATGCATGGATTCCAGTGACAGTGACCTGTCTCACTAAGTAAATGCCTTGTTGACTGGACTGAATCTCAAGGTAGACAGAAGGCCAAAACATTTATATACTGAGTCAGAGAAATTCTAGCAGAAGTTCTCTCGCTGGCAGAATGCCACAATATGCATTCTAGTCCAGATTATGAGCCGTTAATCTGGAAGGGCAGAGCATCTATATTTGGCCAACCTTGGATTCTAGACCTCATTGAAATCCAGTCTAGCATTCAGTGTTCCTGTAATTTGCATCCGACTGCCCATGTATTTCCAAAGACAACCCAACCACAACTTCTCCTTATGCATGCCACCCTCACTGGGCAGCGGGATAAGATGCAAAAACAAAAAGCCTTTAGATCAGCAGTATTCCATCTGAGGTTTAATTTTAAACACTGCAAACTCCCAGGTAGCTAGTTACACTAGTTTTCCAACTACAGTGCATCATCAAAGCAGTGTTGGGCAGCCAAACGGGGTGCAAAAATCTGTCCCTCTGGGACCAGCTTCTAGGAAACTTCTGGAGCCAGTCTATTGTGAAGTCCATAAGATGTAAATCATTTTGTACTAAATTCATCAGAAAAAGATAGTTCAGGTCACAGAGCACTGATGCTCCCATCCACCTACCCCCACCCCTGTGTGTGGGGGGGAGGGTGGGGTGGGGGGTGGTGCTAACAGTAAAACTAGAGCTCCAAAGTCCTTTTCAAGAAAGGTCCCAAGTTAAATACAATATAAACATCATATAATAGTGTAAGAATATTTTTAAAAGTCATGCTTGACTGTCACAAAATTATTTACATATTTGCCCCACACATTTTATTTTACCTTCTTTAATCCATCCAACACTGGGAAAAAGCTATCAGTAGGATTTCTCCACTGTTGCTCAAATACATGCGAGATGTAACAATCATTCCTTAATCCCACTTTTACTTTATTCTTACAACAGCAAATGACTGATCAGAGGTAGACGTACTGCTCTGTTCAGAACTCAGCCTGCATTAAGAGACTAACATAATCGTATTGCGCAAACGCATTTAGAGAATTATAATCCAACAGTCTTCCTAAATGTCTTTTTATATAATGAACATCTGTGAATGGTAAGTATGTTGTTTAGGAGTTTCATAAACATTTAAATATTTAGGTGTATGGTTATTCTTCAGTATATTTTTTTAGAAAAGCTTATGAATAAACATTTCAGGTTACAAATAATGGGCATTACATAGTTTGCTCAATTTTGTTATTTTAAATAATTTAATTCAGATTAGAAAATATTTTACAGAATTCCATACATTGAATGCTAAGACTTAAATCTACCTCACGTTCATGATAACACAAGGTTCGTGCTGTAGTCAATTTTATAACATAAGATAAACCAATTTGATTAGTATTCTGTGTCCACTTGGTAAGTCTGTTCCAGTAGGTGAATGCATGTACTTTGTGCACTGCAATTGAGTCTCAGAATAAATACTGTCAAGTTTAGAATTTAGATGCTGTTGTTGCTGTTATTTGTGTAACAGAGACTACTTTTGTGGTCATAAAAGCAAGCAAGAAATATTAATTTCAGTCAATGAGAGCTTTGCTTAAGTCAGCAAGTTTCTTAGTACTACAGGCCATAGAGGCCCTTGGTTGCCATCGCTACCTTCACCCATTCCCATGCGTATCTTCATCCATTGCTTAATTAAGGAGTAGATAATTTGGGCCCTCAGAATCAATGGTTTATTAATCCACTCTAGTTTTAAATATCCTAAGCAGTGATATTGCTTTTATAATAGTAAGTTTTGATAAATTAACAGCTTTGACATTGTGTTGATAGATTAACAACAACATATCTGGAGCCAGAAATTACTTTTTTGAGATCAGTCATATTCCTTAGACTGGAATAGACCATCTTGTTTAAAGAGCTCATTGTCCAAGTATATATTACACTTCAGACATCTTTCAGCTATTTGTTTGCGTTTTTCTTAAGTTACCGCTCCAAGACAACTAGTTAGTTATAAGAACATACTTTATTTTGAATTATAAATAGTGACAGTAACAAGTTTTACTCCAAATATAGAAAGTGTCATCCATGCACAAGCAGAACAAAGTTGCTCCATTCAGATATGAGATGTTGTGTTTCACAGAGTCGTACTAAAACAGATATGCAATATGGATAAGACAAGTATTTAAAATTAGAACCCGAGATATAAATTCATCAAAGTGCATCTTCTTCTTTATTGAACACAGAGATACTTGTAGACCCTGATCAGCATTAGTCAAAACTTCTTTGTCACACACCATTAATGTAAAGTTTTTTAAAGCTTTATTTTGTAATTATTAGTTTTATTTACAAAAATATTATCCATTTCCTTTTCCAATCCCAATTCCAAAGTTAATTCATTCCTAGACTGAAAAAACAAGGCTCTAAAGCAAACAGGCTTCTGATGCAAAACAAGGCTCAATTTGTTCCACATAAAACCAGTGTAATAGCTTAAATTGTATTTTTAATTGTAAAAGGTTTTAGGTGGATAAATAAATTGTAATTTCTATTTGAAGTCTTTCAGTTTGGTCACTGAGAAGCTACATCATTCTCCTAATTAAATATTTTTATTTGTAAAGTTCTTCTTTACAAGAAGGCAGCCTACATTAATAAAGAGAAGTTTATGGTAGCAGCAAGAATGAAGTTCAAAACTTTCTTTTGAGGTTAACGTCCATATGGAAGGGGCTAGAGCAGCAGGTCCCAACCTCGGGTCACAGAGGCAATGCCAGCAGTGCTGCACACAAATGATGAGGCTTGCTGGGAGCTCCCCCACCCCTGGGCCACCACTGCACTCTGCTCCCAGCAGCACATCACAGCAAAAAAAAAAAAAAAAAAGAACCACTGGACTAGAGGTTGCTACCAACTTGAGCAGGAACACAGGCAAAGATTTAGATGTGGTGCTGAGATTAGGATCTGTCCCTTGTTGGCTTCAAGTATAGCCATGAGCAGTGGTATTTAACCATTATTTAGTCCAGAAAAAGCTATACAAAGGTAAAGTACTGTACTCTAATAATAAATGTGTTAGGGGAAAATGTCTTTTAAACGGGTGCTTTTTTGCATCATTTAGATTTTTGTCTATGCACTTGCTCATGGCCTGTATCATATTGGGCATACCATTGGATTTCATTTTAGATTAGATTCATTCTGGGGATCAGCTAGTTAGAAGGTATCAATCTTGTCAGACTTCTAGTTAATCTTTTAATTTCACATTCTTTAATGGAGTTCCCCTCTTTTCAAACTATACTCTAGTTCCTCTAAAAAGTTATTTGCACAAGCAACTAGACTGGAGTAAGAGAGACTACTGACAAGGGCTACTCATGTGAAAGTGTGAGTGACTGGATCCTTTATACTCAAAGCAAGAGAATATGGTGCATCACAGTTTACTGCAGATTTATGACTCAGTCAGAAATGAACCTCAGGTTAATATGTGGAAGTATTTACAGTTAAAGCATTTGTACACAAGCCACGTACTCATTTCAGGTCTTTAGATATCACAGCATAAATTGTTGTGTTACCACTTATTTAACCTACCAGCTAGTTATCCTTGGACCTTTAAAGTGTTCACCAAAATCAGTTGAGCTGAAGAAAGCTATTAAGTGTGCAAGGAATACATGAGGACCTAGATTTCATCAAGTTCTTTGTAAACTGAATGATGCAAGTGTGCAAATAGTGAACAATACCTTTAAATCCTTACTGACTTGTGGCAGCAATCCAAAGCCAGAGAGTTACATTTTCCTGTAGCTTTTGCTAAGTTTTCTAGAAAGGTGCGGGTAGCCTGTAATCTTGTAAAGAAAGACTCTAGCCTAATTTCTGCAAGCCTGCATCCAGACAGATGGAAGCAATAGCACCATAAACAGAAGCTTGTTTTGTATTTGACAATAGAGTTTGTAACTTTAGTGTACTCAAAAGTTAACCAAATACAGAAACATCCTTTTGGAGTTGGTGAAGTGTAATGCTTTAATTAAAAAAAACAAAACTCCAAACAAACCAACAAACCCCACCCCCCAAAAAGCACCAAACCAACTGTGTAGCTGCAATTTCACCCTCCCAAACCAAAAGATAGTCTGAGCTAGATCCATGTGTAAAATGCATGGTAACATTTCAAGCCAAACCCATCCACATCCTTATTATGTGACATACATGACTCGACTCATTTTCAAGTTCATCCCTAGTAATCCTCAGTGTAAAAAAGATAAAAGTTTTATTTCAGACAAAATTATTTGTAGGTTTTCACAATACATTTTATTCATAGGATTCACAAAAATTTAAAAGCATGGTGCCAAGCTGATTTATTAATTTACCTCACAATATTTTATGACTTGCTCTCCACAGATCTGACCCATCTGTCTACACTAGGCAATTTTCATCTTTAATACAAGGGAGCCATAAATCATTTTGCATTGTTACCCTTATAGCACAAGGACTTGTCTGTCAAGTGCCATGCATGTCTGTGGCACTTTGTGGCATGCCCAAAGATTTCCAATTGGGTCAGAAAGGGTTTGCCTTAAAAAAAAAAAAAAAAAAGTAGGGATTTGGATTTTTTTAAAAATCCAAACACATACATAAATTAAATAAAATTAATATAAAATATAAAAAGTGATGTATGCTTTTGGTGCAAGATCACACAGGAATTGTCTTCCAAGATTTTAAGTGCACTCTCAGAAGTGAAAGCATAAGCAGTTAAAAAGAAAAGGAAGTCAAAGTCAATTTTCACATTTTGTTTTTCCACTCTTACCTTCCCACCTCCACCCTACAGGAGCATCTGCTCACTTTTACCAACTCTAGAGCCAACTGTGCAGTGGCCACTCTTTTCAGAGGGACCTGAAGTCAGGCAAGAAAGAAATGGAGATCTGAGCCCTCCTGTTCTATTTTCCTTTAGTCCTGTATATAACATATATAAATCTTCTTACCACAAATGAGAGCTGCACAATCCCTGCTCATCAATGTGAGATTAGACCTCTATTAGTGCTACAGGATCTGAGGCAGGCAAGCTGGAATGTCAGGTTTAACTTTGTTAGTTTACTGCAATGTAATAAAAAAAAAAAAAATATATAAAAAAAAAAAAGTCCCCTGCTGTCCGACTTCAGGGAAGTGCTGAATTTTACATTTGGTAGCTAGTGGAAAAAAAGATTTGAGAAAGTGGCAAGAAAGAGCTTTCCTGCAAGGAGGAAAAAAATGCATTTGGGAGAGGAGGATGAAGTCTGTTAATCTCTCTCCATAGAACTTGCTCCCCATCCTTTTTCTGCAGTTTTGGATTTACTACAGTGGTTATTAATGTATGCTAGACCAAGAAGTGCAACTGGATTCTGTAGGAGCAGTGCCAACCTACAGACAGTATTTAGTATCAAACATTGCTTGCACAGTCTCCTAGACTTAAACCCCTAAAGATTAAGGTAAAAAATAGATGGTTTACATCTTCTTACTGGGATTTGCTCACTTCTTGTGGCAGAAAACCCTGTGCGTTTGGGAAGGGGAGCAAAATCACTCCATCAATACTGCCCTATATACGTACATCCTAATCCCCAAATTCTGGGATGTTCCCTAGACATTGTAAACATGGGACCAGCCGCAGACATCAGAACCTATTGAAGAACACGGAATTCAGGCTACTGGGAATCATTATCTATTAATAGCAGACAAATCCCTCTTATAGCCAGTACCGATAATACCCTGGGGCTTCATCCAGTTAACCATGACCAGCCCAGAAAACAAGTCTTATTCTGCAGGATGATCTACAGCCTTATCCCCCCTTTAAAGCTAAAAGGGGTGCACAAACCCTAGGTACGCAATATCAATATGCGACCCAAAAGGTTTTTCAGGTGTGCGTGTGTATTGAAGTCACAATTTCAGTTCTCAGCTTTTCCAGGAGACCTTCCCAAAACAAATTGTGCCACACACAAAAAACCCACCGGTGAGCAGCGAGGCCATTTTAGGAAAGTTTTACTACGCACACCGCCAGGACGATAGCAATGATGAGCACTGCAGAGAAAATCACGCCTGCCAAGACCTTGCTGATATCACAGAAGGATTTGTTCTCCTCCACAGAGATCATGCCCATGGAGGAGGCACCCATGCTCACAGTGGATTTCAGTTCAGCCCCAGGGTCCTGCTTGGCTTCTACTGTCCAGTGGGGGACGTTCACCTTCATCTCCATCTCGTACATCATCTCCCCCACCTGGTTGATCTCTTTTTCTAGGTCTTTCAAATCCACCACGTCGATGTTGTGCTCAGCCTCGTACTTCATGTTCTGGACGCTCATGGCCCGGGCAGCTACTCCCGACGTGCCCCCGCTCATCCCCGTCTGGATCAGGTGCTTCTTGGGGACATTGAGGGGGAACTCGTGGCCCAGCTCCAGGGCCCGCCGCATGTCGACCTCCAGGATCTCCAGGCAGGTGGAGAAGATGACCCACAGCCTCTCAAACTCCGCTTTGTCCTCCTTGCTTACCGTCTTGTCCCTCAGCACGCCCGTCAGCTTGTTCCTGTTAGCCACCGCCAGCTCCTGAGCTTTCTGCCGGGTTTTCCGCAGCTCCTCCCGCAGGTTCTGCGAGTCCGCCGTGCCCCCAATGGTCAGCACCATGTGGCGATAGCAGGCGGCTACCTTGTTAAGCGCATCCAGCAACGCCTTACATTCCTCCTTCACCATAGCTGCAACACCTCAGCCGCCGCCAACCGCGCGCATGCTGCCGCCGAGCCCGCGCCGCCGCCCCTTATATGGCGCGGGGTCACGTGGCGCGGGCAGGAAGTGGCCCTATGAAGCCCTCCTCCCCCTCAGGCCCCACCCCTAGTGGACGCTGCCGGGACCCGGCGGCTCAGTGGCGCAGCCCGCCGCGGAGTCGGGTAGGCCGTGGTGTGGGGTGGGGGGCGCTGGGGCGGCGAGCGGAGCCATGGGGCTGCCCTGAGTAAGTAGCCGGGGTGGGGGGGCTGCTGGGGGAGGGGGGGAAGATGTATGTCCCGTTTGGGGTCAGGTCCTGGTTCAGCAGCAGCGGCCTCTCCCGCCTTAGGGGCGAGGCAGGGCGGCGAGTAGCCGCTGCTGCTGCTACTCTCTCTAGTAGGGAAACCAACCCCCTCCCCTCCCCCATGTGTCTGTGCTGCTTGGCCGGTCTTCCCTGGCTGAAGAAAACCTCTTGCAGCTTCTGTAAGGTGGGGAGGCTCTTGGTCTCTTTTATGAGACCGACTCAAAGAGTTGGAGGAATTCGTTCCTGGCAAGTTTTCGGGGGTCCATAGCCTTCATCAGGCTGAGGAGGTGTCTGCATTTTGGCTGTGCTCTTCCTGGAGGGGATGGAGAGCAAAGAAGACAGAGACTGGGATGCAGGTGGGAAAGCCTGTGCTTCTGTGAGGGCATTATTCAGGTTGTCAGGGTATCGAGTGGGACACGGGTGAACAGATTCAATGTGCTGTAGTTGTCACCCAGTCTTAAATAAGTCTTTACCCAGCCTTGTGATGCAGGAAACAAGTTTCTGCAATATGTTTCTTTAGGGCTTGCAGGGAAAGAACGAGCTTGCTTTTCTTTATCTCCTGGATGAGTTGGTTAATGAAAGTGGGTAGCGTGTGTAGCTGTTTGGTGAAGAGCTCTGTCTCTGCATTTTTAAGTCTTCCCTCAGTGCATGTGCAAAGGTGTGGTGCAGTGATGTGACCTACTCAAGCGCTCATTGCTAACAAGCAAGAAAGCAGTGCACTGGCTGTGCTTTGTATTTGCATGTTGTGGAAGTGCTGTTTTCTTCCCCTATCAACAGAGAGGTTTGGGTATCCTGCCACTACCCATATGCTGCAGTGATGGGTAGGTGTGTGTTTCCTCTCTTGAGAGGAACTGAAAATAAAGCAGCAGCTAAACTGTGAGCCCAGAGCACTATGCTGTACCTTAACTTGTATGACATTGTTGTGCAATGTACCTTATACATTTACCAAACAGGCATTCCTGTGAGGAATGCCATTCCAGGGGAACAAATAAATACTGTGTATTGTACATAGTGTTTGTCTTCTCATATGAGCTCACTGTGTTAGAGCAGCATCTTTATTCCTTCTATATGCTGCTAAAAAGTCCCAATATGAAGTAGGTGCCTACTAATTCAGATGCAGTACTTAAGCTAAGTAAAGTAAGTCAAGAACAAGGGAATCTCTTATGATGAAATCATACTGGATGAATTTGACCTTGCAAGCAAGGATGTGTTCCTGCATAATGGCTGTGATCAGGTGGATAAAGGGATAAGCTTAAGGCTAATCAAAGTATTTTGTGACTTGAGTGATGTTAAGCTTCTGATTTGGTGTTGTACCTGTAGAGTGACAGCTAATGGTCTGTATTTTGGTAATAAGCTACTACGGATAGAGTGCATCAAGAACTCCTAATAGGCACAGCTCATCTGAAACTACCTGGGGAACCAATCAGCTGAAGGTGTGTGTGTCTTGCCAACAAACTTAATATTGTTTCAGGAACATGCAATAGAAGCAACAACAAACATGGTCTGTAGTTAGATGCTTGATAACAGACTTTAACTACGTTTTCCTGTGGAAGAATAAGGATTCTTTTGAGTAGCCACGTTACTTAAGTGTAAGTGCCACTAACCAATGCCAGATGGCAGGCAGTACCCAGGAAAACAGATGCAGTAACTGCTTTAATATTAATCTGTCAGGTGACTGGCTTAACAATCTTAAAATTGCAGGATAAATGTTGATACTTTTTCTGTCTAGGCGCTGACTGGTTGAAGTAATTCTGCATGTAGTATTTGTGTATGTGATGCAGTATGAGAAATCCTTACAGATGGGTAAGGCAGTGGTAAATGTGTGAGAGGAGAAACTTTCTAGTTCTGTGGAAAGATTTACAACAGTTGCTGTTGAGTGCTGGTGTTGTGGAGAAGGTTCTCCTGCAAATGTATGTTTGGAATATATACCCTTCTCGAGGCACTCTCCTTTATGCTCAAATATGTCCTTATTTCTAATGGTTTTCCTGGTCCCATACCCATAATGAATGAACAAATATCTTCTTCTTTTTTTAAAATTTAATTTAATTTTTTTAGCTGAGCAGCCTTTAAAGGGGATTTTTTTCTTAGAGGAATAAAACTTGCTTCAGGTGAACCAATATTTGGAGGAAGAGCTCCTTTTTTGATGGTCTCGAGCCTGGAAGAGTTCAGAGCCTTTTATTTATTTACTTTAGGAGGGCTGTTTGGTGTGGAAAATGAAGGTGGTAGCTTAAAAAAAAAGCAAAAAAAAAAATCATTTTCTCTCTTTTAAAAATCTGACTAGTGTACAGAGGCTATATAAAGATAGTCCAAAGCTTGATTAGTTTCATGATGAAACAAACTGGTTGTCATGTGCCTGTAAATTGTGCAGTGTAGTGACAAGTGTACAGGTTAGTTCTGGATATCTGCTGACTTTTATTATTTTTTTTAATACTAAAATAAAAATGTGGCATGTTAGTAGTGTTCCCTGAAAGGGGAAAGCTTTCTTGCCTAATCCTAGGGTGCATGCTCCTAACCCAGAAATGTACGTTTGAGGGTGGCGAGTAGGAATCATCCTGGAAAACTCAATGCTTTGTTTCTGTGTTCAGGATGAGTGGGGTCTATTTGGGTGTCTGGGACTTGCAGTCGGTAAATCTAGCACTGAAGTGTTTCTTGCCAAGTAAAACGCATTCTTGTGGAACTCTTATCTTAGTGCAACAGGGAATAGAAATACTGGTCTAAAGTTCTGTCTTACTCTGAAAAGTGTCTGTGTAAAAATAGTGCCATTAACATAATTCTGTGAGTAATGGATCAAATATACTCACTCAGTTTACAAGTAGGGATGTGTGTGTCTAGCTCCCAGTCTAGAGAATGCAGTAAAGCTGCATATTGATTGCACTTAATCAGTATTAATGATGACTTTGCACTGTCAGCTACACCTACACAATCCCATTGCCTTTGGATGTCCTCATTAACACTTGTGTAAGCTCATAGCCTTCCTGGTTGCACCAGTGTAATTCCTTTGAACTTAAAGGAGATCCTCAATGTAAGAGTTGCAACTTCTGGGGGGGAAATGTATATTTCCTAGAGTTAAGGGAACACACAAGACTGAGAAGGTGGGGGGGAGGGAGAGGGAGTAAGTTACTTTTGTTTCCCACCTACCTTTTACTTTTCAGTTTGTGCATCATCTGTAATTGGTCTTGTATACAATTCTTCAATATGGCAATGACAGTCATGTATAAAACCACAAAGACTGATTGGAGCTTGGAAGTAGGTGTAATATCTGAAGTTGCTACTAACTCAGTTTTTCAGTTTACGGGCAGTCCTCAACTTAGTTTTGAATTACAAGGTTTCGCACTTACAATGTTTATAAATTGACACCCCATTTCAAATTTCTGACCTCGGTTTTGACTTTATAATGCTTGATCTGATGCAACGCCACACCAGCAAACCATATGTCCAAACTTTCTTGGATGCTTTCTTTAATAAAGCAGCCAAGACTCCTGAGAAGACTCCAGCCAACAACCCTTCAAAAAGTCCAACCAAGAGCCCTTCAAAAAGTCCAGCAAAGTCACCTCAAAGAAGTCCTTCCAAATCGATATGATTGCTATTTACAATATAAATGCATTAATGTAGCTATATATGACTCATCTATAATTGATTGAGTACAAAATTCTGGGTTATTTTTGGTGAAAATAGGGTAACAGGACTTGGTTCAGGAACCAATCCCCATTTATAGCATTGTTTCCTATGGGGAAAACAGTTCCAAGTTGCAATGTTTTGGCTTAAGACGCAGTTTTCAGGAACCAGTTATGTCGCAAGTCTGAGGACTGCCTGTACTGGGTTTAAGGTTGAGAGAGCCTTGTAAATATTCTGGTATGCAAAGTGAGTAGTAGAGTGGTCTTCAAATGGAAAAAAGAAGGCTTGTGGACTATAGAATAATGGGCTGGTTGCAGAGCAGAATCTCTTCCTTTTTCAAGTGAACCTGGGTTTTCTTTGGTTGTACAAACTGATTTCTGTTCATCTAAAATATTGGCTAACAGTGTATAATTAAGGGTTTACTCACTTCATGCTACCACGGAAACTGCAAAGTCTGGGATTATCCATAAAATCAATTTAAATCAACTTAATAAAAAATAAAATGCTGGTGCCCCAGTGGGAGCCAGCAGTCCTCGTTGCGCTGCAGCCTGCTCATTCTGTGGGGAGGAAGCACTGGCTGGCAGGGGGGCACGAAGAGCAATAGGGGCAGCTAGCAGACATGGTTGTCACCTCCTCATCCTTCCTCCCGCCTTCCAAGGCCTCTCCACCAACTTGTACTGAGTGGCAGGGCTGTTGGAGCACATCCAGGAGATATCCACAGAATTTGCTATTTATACAAAAATAGTCTAGCTTTCCTGCAATTTAATACACCTCTGCATACAATAAATTTGACTCCACCATGCGCGTGTGCACACCCTGGCTATTTTGTTTTGTTTTTAATTTTATTTTCAAATAAATGCATAACATAACTCTGTGTTAAAAAGAGGCAGTTATAAATTAGCACTTTTAGTTTCTCTGTGGTAACATGGAAGGTAGAAGTTCAGGTAATGGCTAATGTAGCCTCCTAGTTAGGTTAGGAGAGTAACACTTATGTCATGCCCTTATTAAACAGTCTTATTCAGGTCACTACCTCCTGTGTGCATGTGCATATGATGTTTTGAAATCCCCTTTCTGCCTCCATCAGTGACTTATAGCGACCTCAGTTCAGAGCTTATGTAAT